TTGATGTTGATGTTAACGACAGCTTGTGTAATGGTTGACTTTACCACTTGACGCTAATGTACTCTTACTGCTAGCGATATTTCCTTTGCATTGCTTGTCGTTCTACCGCCCTACCCCTTCCATGCTCTCTAGCTGGTTGCTGCTGTCAACTTGCTGCGTTGGAATGTCGTAGTGTTTTGCCATGCCCTGCCGTCTTCGCATTCCAAATTACGTTAATTATATTCCGAGATGTCGCTCCACGCTCCACATACATACGTATATACCATGAGACCTTTCCAACCTGCCGCCACTTCGTCTTAATGAGGCCTTCATTCTTTAGCCCACCCTTAGCACCTCATATCGCATGCACAAACGCCACTTGTGCCCACTTTCTTGTAACATTTAAATGAATTGGAATTTTTAATTAGAGCAAAACATGGCACAGAACTTAAAGGTGACTGTAAAAGAAAGTGGTCCAATAGTTCACTTATTACATTCATAACACATTGGTTAATTTAAAAATGGCTATCATAAATAGGATTTTACTATATTCTTGCCATGTTCTCTGTTCTCTTTTTTGATTTTAGAGAGTTTGAGTTGGCAAGCACAATTAAAGTCCGAGCGTCTAACTTATCAAAAGAATTGAAAATATTTCTTAATTCACGGAAACCCTTCTCGATTGACAATATATTTCCGAAATAGAGTCCCTAAATATCTTCAATCTTTAATTAGAAGAAAAAATTGATCGAAAGTCAGCTTAGTTTGGTGGTGGTTTTTCGTGAACATTGTCTGGCATAGTTAGACTTAGAAGTGGTGATTTTTGCATGGCAGACGATGAACGTCCTGATATATATTGTTGCCAAACCAAATTTCATAACCTTAGAAGCAAGGAAATCGGATCTCCTACGAACTGAAAGTAAGAGATGTTGAAAGACAATTTTGCAGCAAATAAGGAATGCAAAAGAAAAGAAGGTATAAAAAAGGCGTTTCTAAGTCAAATTGTGACTAGTGGTGAAAAATAGATTCATTAGTACAATTTCAAAGCAAACCGAGCCAAATCAACGGCGAATTAAAACATCAATGACGGCAAGGTAATGATCTACATGTCGTGAAAGGATGTCCAGTATTGTGAGCTGCTTAAACCGGGTGAACCATCAATGGGGAACGCTACTAACAACAATTGAACGAATTGTAGTTAACGATTGCCGAAAAACATCTGGAATTTGCGATTAGAAATTAGGCAATAATCTATCCTCACAACGATCGGCCTCATATTGAGAGACTGGATACAAACTATTTAGAAAACAGCGGCTGCGACTACCTTCTGACAACCATTTGCTAAGGTCAATACAAAACGCTCTCACTGGAAAATGGCTCACAGCAGAACGAAATTTCAAAAATTGCTGTTATTCATTATAGTAATATGTTATAGCTTTATATGGACAATACCTTGAATTATACTATTCTACATGTTTTTCTTAAATAATCGTTTAATTTTGTTGAGTAAGAAAACCGCATGAATATACTATTGTTAAAGGAAAAATACTACTATACTTTTCATATAATCAACTATAGAGTTGTTATACCTTAAAGCTATGCTGAAGAAACACTAGAAACTTTGGGAGTAAAAGTATATAAATTTACAAAAATTATTCATAGAATCGTCTTAGAAAAGTACTACAGTTATGAAATAAAAAAAACTTCATCACTGAATATCCTGCAAATATTATAGATATCGTAAAGAAATAGAGAAAACTGTATTAAAATGGTAAAATATACGATTTCTTAATTATAAATCAGAACTGAACAACTTAAATAAGATTCTCAGCAACAAAATCAAAAAATTCAAAAATCAAAATCATTCAAACTAAACCGAGAAACTTACACTAAACAAAATAAAAGACTAGTTCCTTTGAAAAAAGCTTTAAAAATATTAGGAAACCAATTTTGTCAAATCCTCCTCTCAGAAAGACCTACGGAACCTTCAGGTTCGACGAAGAAAACGCAGAAGTTTTTTAGAGAAATTAGCAGTCATTCGCCTTCCATGGCAGCATGGTACCTTACGCAGCTGGAAGCTTCGCAGCATGAAAACGAAATTAAGCGAACAACAAATAAAAAAGTTGTCAACTTCATCAAAACTAAATTAAAACCTAAAAAGCTTACTGGCCTCTACTTGACAACTGCCGATGTAGTTTAAAATCTATCGCGTTCAGCGATAATAGGCGCTTGATTAAACCAGACAAGTTCAAATGTCATGGAAGGTATTCGAAATCATTGATATGAAAACCTTGGAAAAGCGTACTATAAATGAAGCCTCGTCGTATCGTTCAATCACATTGATGCTATCATTACCAGAAGACTTGAAAACATAGTTTAGAAAAATCAAATCAGAATACACAATAGACCAGGTAGACGAGTCGTGTCAAGCTGTCATGATATTTTTGTTCAGTATTGTTTGGCATTTCGTCACGGTCGCAACACCATCTCCCATCTTGAGACCCACCATTCAATATTCGAATGGATAGACCACAACTAGCACGCAGCAAATAAATTATAGTCGCCGTAGTTGAGAATGTACACGAAGACAGTGAAAAGTCAATTCGGAGCCGGACTAATGTATGACTTGGCGTATTTTACTATATATTATATTAGATATTAAATGGAAAGCGTACAAAATACAGCTTGTGCAAAAACTGCAATTCTTGGGCTCTCATAAATTTTTAAGAAGACCCGACGTTTTTGAACCACATTTTGTGCAGTGATGATACCCATCTCTAGGTCAATGTAAAGAAACTAAATTGCCATTTAATCCTGAAAAACACGGTTTGGTGTGCTTAGTGGGCCGATGGAATCATGACTTCAAAAATGATAACGGTAAGAACATAACCGTCAATATCGACCGATATTGCACCATGATAACCGACCTTTTGATGCCTGAAATTGAAGTTCGTGAACTCGGCGACATTTGGTTTTAACAGGACGATGTCACTCCCTTCACATCGCGCCAATCAATGGATTTATAGAGAAAATCCTTCGGTGAGTAGATAATTTCAACGTTTTGGGCTGGTCGTCTGGCCACCAAGATCGTTATTGTTAGAATTTTATCGGTTTCGATGTCTATGCGAACAATCCCGCTTCCTTCCAGTCCTTGGAACAACACTTTACGCATGTCTTCCGCCAGTTACCAGTCGACAAGCGTGAACGATTCATTGAAAGTTGAACTCAAAGCATAGACCATCTGAGTCGGTCAACATTTTAAAGAGATAATTTCGAAAAAAAATGGAAAAATGAGATGCCACATAATGCAAACTTCAATTAAACAAAAAGTGAACCGGAAAATGGTGCATAACCTTAAACGAAACGAGGTCAATTCACGTTTACTACAGTAAGAAAAGTCTTACCAATGTATATTTGAAATGAAGAAATCTCACACGCCTCAGCGAAAAATCTTATCATGCCGCTGAGGCAGCTTTTCAGCTAAAGCGCAAAGGGCAAAAAAAGATACAAAGCTAAACACAAACAAGTAAGGAAGGGCTAAGTTCGGGTGTCACCGAACATTTTATACTCTCGCATGATAAAGTGATAATCGAGATTTCAGGCGTGGTTGTGA